AGCTGCCAAAAAAAAAAAAAAAAAAAAAAAATCTGCATCACAGTTAATTATGGAATGCGCCCAAGATGTATACAAGGGCATAATTGGTATCACAACAAATAATGTGAAAATGACAAAACGCTGCGGAAAGGGGACGAGAGCATAAAAACGACAATAAACCTAGAAACGACATTACTGTGTACGCCGTTATAAAACGACAACACCTGAAAAGAGAATAGACTGTAACGACAATGACCAAAAAGAACTATCGCTTCCATAAAAACCGACAAAAATAGAAACCAGAACATTGCCAATTAATTGCAATCTCAAAATAAAACAAAAAATATTCATTAAAACATGTTCCTAATTGTAATGTCGACAACTACATATATAAATACTCACACATACGTCTCGTTTAGCCAAAAAAAAAAAATACTCACATATACGTCTCACAATAGTCACAGCTAGATCTAATACGGAAAAAAACAAAGTAAAGACACGTACGCATCTATATCTATTGTCAGTTACTCACACAGATTCACTCGATCATGGAAACAATTAAGTTCATATAAATGTATATATCGATCATTGAAACAAAGTTCATAATTCATATACATGTATATATCTGTTCCAAGCAAGCATATATAAAAAATAAGTGCATCAGCAAAAGTTTTCTTTCCTTCGTTTGTTTGTTTTTTTTTTTTTTTTTGTTTTTTTTTTTTTTTTTGTTTTTTTTTTTTTTTTTGTTTTTTTTTTTTTTTTTGTTTTTTTTTTTTTTTTTGTTTTTTTTTTTTTTTTTGTTTTTTTTTTTTTTTTTGTTTTTTTTTTTTTTTTTGTTTTTTTTTTTTTTTTTGTTTTTTTTTTTTTTTTTGTTTTTTTTTTTTTTTTTGTTTTTTTTTTTTTTTTTGTTTTTTTTTTTTTTTTTGTTTTTTTTTTTTTTTTTGTTTTTTTTTTTTTTTTTGTTTTTTTTTTTTTTTTTGTTTTTTTTTTTTTTTTTGTTTTTTTTTTTTTTTTTGTTGTTGAAAAGTTGTGTACATATAAAACTCTAGAAGGAATTCCAAATTTAAGATAGAATTTTCCATCTTCAGAAATAAATTAGGTATAACTAAAAACCTAGTACCATTTATTAACTAGTAGCATTTATTAAACTTAACTAGTAGCATAACTAGTAGCATTTATTAAACTTAAAGAGATCAAGCGAGAACACATAAAGAGTAATTAAACTTAGATATAATTAAAAACCTAAGCGGCTAAAGGAGGTCAAGCTAATGAAGTGCTGCCATGGCATCTCCCAAACGACGGCCTCGTAGCGCTCCAAGGCGGCGCCGTTTGCGACGGTGACGATGAGGTGGTAATTCATGCCTTCGACCACCTGAGTCTCGCCCTCAACGACGCTATTCAGTTTCAAGCTCGCATTCGACTTCCTGTTGTACTCGGAGATGGCGAAATCCACGATCTCCTTCAAGTGCGGGTCGCTCAGGTCCTTGATCGGCGTCCAACCTCCGGGTTCGCCCCACTGGGCCGCGAGAGGGGCGACGAGGACGGCGACGATCAGGAGGAGGAAGTGAGTACGCATTGTGGCCATTGATCTTGCGGAAGAAATTTCTGAATTCTGCTGAGAGTGTTTCGAGAGTGAGGGGATCATGCTTGTAGCTCTTTGGCGCGATGGGGAACTTATAGCGGAAAGTTGGACGTTAGATAACATGCAGAGGAAGAAATTTGAGGACTGATTACATGAGTGGATTATTTGCTCCAAGTAACACCGGAAATTATGGACGGCCGGTAACATACGTGACTGATAAGCATGTAAAGCTGGAGCTGCGTTTTTGTGTGCTCCTTGGCGTGAGTGTTTCCAACACGTACGCCTGGCTGATTGTGGCTTGTGGGCCTTTATTGGTCTATTTTGTATTGAGAAAATTAAGGAGAACGGTGAAATAGCATATAGGGTAGGTTGTTTCGTAAATTATAGTATTTATTTATTTTTTTAAATAGTAGGTTATAGTATAATTTGATATTTTAAGTTTTAAATATTATTGAAGACCTAAAAATATCCTTAAGTCTCCTTTTTGTCTCTCTTTCTATTTCTCTCTAGTCAAGTCTACTATGACCGGCGGCCATCGTCGGTGACCAACTCTGACGGCTGGTAAATATCGTATTTACAGGTAAATATTATATTTATTAGTAAATATCATATTTATTTGTAGATATCATACTTACTGATAAAACCATATTTATTAGTAAATACCATATTTACTAGTAAGTATCGTATTTATTGATACATACCATATTTATTTGAAAATCCGGCGATAGGCTCCGGTGACTGGTAAATACCGTATTTACCGGTAAATATCATACATACCATATTTATTCAAAAATTTGGCAATCGACTCTTGAGACAGTTAAATACTGTATTTACCGGTAAATATGATATTTACCAAATTGAGAATTAGATTCAGTGGTAAAGACAATATTTACCAATTCACAAAAATCACAGATCTCAAAATTACACAAAAAAATCCATCAAAACCTCACATCTTAGAAACTACAAAAATCACAAAAAAAAAAAAAAGAAAATCAAAACTCAGATATCACAAAAATTAACGAAAAAACTCAGATTTCATATCCGCGACAAGCATCAGATCGACATTTGCTTGATCTGTGCTATTCCTTCCCGAAAAAGCCATGGAGAACCCGGTGAGAACTTTGTCGTTGGTCCTGGCTTCGATTTCGCGGCTCTGAGATCTAGTGCAACAGCGACAATTAGAATTTAGTCCACAACGGCGACTGCCTCCTCCGATATTCTCTTCTCCAAGCTTCGTTGTCGGATCTCGAGCGGAACCACTTTGAAGCGTCCTCAATCGTTTCCGTCGTGAGACCGAGATAGTAAGATTTGGCCATAACTTGATATTTCAAGGTGGAAAAAAAAATTAACAGAGATAGTAAGATTTTTATTGCTTAGGTTTGTAAGATATTTATTTCTTTTTATTCTAATATTTTTTTTGACTTATTCAGAAAAACCTATATATCTTCTTCTATTGTATAAAAGTAACGTATATACTTTATCACTCCAGTCTCAGCTTCCAATTTACTAGTAGTGATCAACAAACTTTATTGTGAGAATCATTAGTTTTTTTTTTAATGGAATAAATGACAGAATTAGGAATAAGTCCAATCTTCTTTTAATGGTTCTCTGATTTCAATAGCTTTCTGCTCCGGTGTATTTTCTGTTAGATTAGTACTTGAATGGTGCAATTGGGGATTTGCGGTAGAATCAAGCAGAGGACAAGTTGGTTTCAAAAGCAGTCTTACAAGCTATTAGAGGAATGGTGGTGGCAGCTCCTAAATTTTGCTGGTCACGGCGGATTTCAAGAGATAGGTCTGGACTTACTAGTTATTAAATTCATGTAGTTTGCTGAGATTGAGTACTCTTTTTCATTTATTGGTTTTTCATTTTCGGTTTGAGAAGAAGTTGGAATAGAGGCGGAACCGGTGTGGGTTAAAGGTAAAACCCGTGCCATCGCCGATCATGATTGTCTCAGTGGCGTCTGCGTTCGGGAAGGATGAATCGCTCCTGAAAAGGAATCTATTGATTCTCTCCCAATTGGTTGGACCGTAGGTGCGATGATTTACTTCACGGGCGAGGTCTCTTGTTCAAGTCCAGGATGGCCCAGCTTGGCCTTTCCGTCACAATTGTTTAGATGGAATAATTGACCAGATGCTGAAAATTAATCCCAAAAAAGGCTTGGAACTATATATTTTTTTTAAGAAAATAGAGAGATAAGAAATGATATTAGGAATCCTTAGCACAATTTAGCACGATATCTATAGCTAGATAACAATGAAATGGATACATTATTTAATGGAAGAGAATTAAATTACAGACCTATATGATATTGATCACGATACTTCACTTATATTACTGAAAACGGATCACATAATGCACGCACAAATTTCTTATAGAATGATTTCCCATACTCTGCACAATGTCTAAAGTGAATTCACTACCATTATTGAGAGCCTATCAGATCACATTCAACTTTTTTATCCCTCGTCTGTTGTCCCCACGCCACGACTTTAAAGTGACTTTTTTCCATAGTTGTTCCTTTCGAATTTGTCGGTTTACGGTGTAAGAGACTTAACATAGTTAGTACTTATTGATCAACTATATTAGATATATAGTTAGTACTAATTACGTTGACGCTTCTGTTTTCATCATCCAAAGAAAATGACTTGCTTCATTATCGTTCTCCACGGAAGCGCTTGCCCGTCCCGAGTCTGAGATCTTAGGCTTAAGTTTGGCATCAAGAAGAATATTAGCAGCTTTGATACCCCAGTGAACCATCTTCAATCTTGGATGCTCATGTAGATACTGCAAACCCTCAGCAATCCCCACACAAATGTTGAATCTAGCGTCTGGGTTTTATTTTGTGCTCTGGGTGTGCAAATCATCCACCAACTAGCTTAATTGAGGAGAAAATTTAGTACTAGTTAACGAAATGAAAATAGGGAAGATTAATTAAAATTTGTTATAATATTTGTAAATTGTTAGTACTTTTTTTAGGATTATTTGTTATAAACTATTTGTTATTATAATATTTCTTGAATTGAACTTTATCCAAATGGGTTGTCAAAAGGAGAAAGATAAAATTTGAAGATATTTATGACATCAACCAAAATACTTTAAGATAAAAAATTACAGCAAAGCATCTCCAGTGCAATACTAAAGTCGATAAGTACTTCAACCAAAGTTCAAGCGTATATATACATGCAAGCTCACAATATACACATCATGATGCTAGGATTGTCACTTGCTCGATAATATATATTTTGGCAGCTATCTGATAACCGGATCCACATATATATCTGATGAAAACGTGTGCCTTTTATTTGGTCTGATCGTATTCTATTATATCAGTTGAAGTCGATGAACTTGAGGTCGTTTCCTTGGACTTGGAGACGTCAGTTTTATCAGCAACTTCTGTATCTTTCTTATTTTGTGCATCCATAGACTGACGTATCTGATCAATGGTTTCCTTGCCAGTAAGAACACTCAAAATGCGAGATACGTTGGGCCTGCAACTTGGGGATATGTCGGTGCACATCACTGCTAAATTTAAGACGTCGACGGCTTGATTGATCTCATCGGCATTCATATTATTTTCTAATCTGACATCAATCAATTTCTCCAGCCCTCTTTTATTTCCAAATTTAGTGCATGCATGAGCCTGCAATATGTATAATTACGCAACAAGAATCTAAAGGTCTTCAAGAATAAACAAATGGCACCTAAAACTTTGTCAAGCTAGCAAAATAGCGGTATTCATTTGTGTCAAGCTATTTGGTAAGACACGAGAATTAATGAAAGCAAGACGGAAATGTATATAATCTCTTTTTCAGCCCTTCCAATTTTGAAAGGATAAAAAATTGGAGTCTTAAGGACGTACGATTTTGAATCTCTTGACCAATTTATTTTCTCTTCGAATCTCTACTGTTAAAAGCGTGCTAGTCTTGAGATATTCCATTCACTAATCTTTACACCCTCATCCCCACTTTTCACTTTTCCCTCTGTTAAACAAGGCCTAAATAATATCGTGTTAAAAGACATTAATATGCTCTAGAAATTAAAGAAAGCTAGCTAGGGGGAAACATAATACAAAAGGCGCTGGAGTTGGCGTTTAGTTTTCTAAATTACCTCGTTCAAAAGATATCTCGACTCTTTGCCTGGTATGGCCACTTTATTTTTCAACCCACAAACAATTTCAAGCAGGACAACCCCAAAACTGAAGATATCAGTTTCTTTTGTTGGATTACTAGCTTGAAGATATTCATGAGCAAGATATCCACTGGAAACAAGAAAAAATCATACAAATTAGTTACATGCAATTTTACGTGAATCAACGTGCATGCGGCACAAACACATGAGGCGTGCCGTCAACTTAGCGATCTTATAGAAAACTTAGAAATATTTATGATCGCGAAAAACAACAATAATAATGTCATTGTTGTTGTTATGTTGTTATTATATCATTACAAAAATAAAATCTCAATTTGTATACTTACTTGGGAGCTTCTTTTTTTAGGATAATTGGTTGATCTTCGTCAGTATAGACTTTTGCCAATCCAAAGTCTGATAGCTTGGGCTTGAAGTCTCCATCGAGAAGAATATTGGAGGTCTTAATATTGCCATGAACTATCTGAAATCTTGGATGCGTGTGCAGAAACGCCAGACCCTTTGCTATTCCCAGGCAAATGTCTTGTCTAGTTTTCCAAGAAAGTTCCAATATATCAGGATCTGCAATTACCGAAGCACCAAATAAATTTGTATTTTCATTGAAAAAATCATACAAACGCCAGACCCTTTGCTACTCTGCGGCTTTCTTATTCAATGAAAACAAGTCAAAATAACTAATCTTGAAACACTTGGGGGGTTTGTAATATATAACTTACCGAGTTCCCTTATCAATAGTTTATTCTCTTTCTCTTTTGCTTTCTTTTTTTTTTTTCGAGTAAAAATTATAACTTAATTTTTTTACATAGTGTAAGCCTAGCTAGCCGCTAGGAGTCATATAATTTATCCTAGTTGAGGTTTAGCTTACAAGTCCATGTATTTTTCTTTGTTAGGATATAGTATATCGAATATTGAGATCATCAAATAAATAATTTTAAGACAAAATACATTATCCTTATTACTAATGTCTCACGACCTTGTATTATATGGTAGTTCTCTAGAACGGGAAAGACAAATTTACTGCTCTTAAGTCATAATAGAACAGAGATTAATAAAGCGATTCATGGTCTTATGCCAACTACTCTAGTGTTACGAACCTCAGATATTACGAAATGAAATGCAGAAAATTATTTTCTTTAATTACTTCCTTTTTTCCCCTAATTGCGTAGAGATTTTCATGCGCAGCAAATAAAAGGATAACATTATATTACGTATCCTATATTAGAAAAAAACAAAAAAATTACTGTTAAAGACATTAGTTATTTCCAGCTAACTGAGTACTAATATAAGCCAAATAAGGTACCATACCAAACAAGACGCTTTCAAGGGACTTCTTTTCCATGTACTCGTAAACAAGCAATTGTTGGCGTTTTCCTACGTGAATATCCCACAATTTAATAAGGTTTTCATGTTCCAACGACTCGAGGAAAATAATGTCCTGTTTGATCGAATCACTGATTTTTCCCTTATGATGGGCAAAAAGTCTTTTCACAGCCACAGTGATCTTACGATCCTTCACTTCTGCCTGAAATACATGACGCAGACTCGCAGAGTCGTGCTTAATGTGTCAATCTCAAAATTCATGTATACGGAAAAAAAAAAGAATACAATGAAATCATAGACAAATTTACCTTATAAACAATTATTTAAAAAAAAAGAAAAAAATTACCTTATAAACTGTCCCCAAATTCCCGCTTCCAAGCTTATAGTCCTCTGCATCACTAAATTTTCCAGTAGCATTTATTAATACTTTGAGGGGGACCTTGATGTCATTATCTTCTCCTTTTGGTTTCGATTTCATGTCTTTCTCTGGAATTTCTTGTCCTATTTTTATTGGTTCTGTTAAAAGGGAACATATACATATGCATGTCAATTATAAAGCAATCGTTTTCCTGCGAAAATAAGAATAATTATAGACAATTTTCTTTAAAAACAAAAGCAAAGGTATACGTCTTTCTTTTTTCAGTTTATTATAGAAATATTTGTTTGTTTTTTTGTTGTTGAAAAAATTGCAAAAACATCGCCTCAAATTTAACTTTAACGATATGAATATAATTAAAGAAGCATCTATCACATTGAATATGAGGACTTTCATCTACTTCCGCCCATTTATCGTCAGAAAAATGCAATAAAAACTGTGTTCCAATTTCTAAGGGTACAATTTTGTAATCTAACATACTCTTGTTTTACAAAAATTTGGTCGCAATGGAGGATTTTAAAAGTTAAAGTTGTTGATGCCCACCAAAAAAAAAAAAAAAAGTTATAAGTTATTGAATTGTTATTTCTTAGTAGGATGATATGATTTGTGTTATTAAGTCAACATCTTGGGGGATATTTTTGCAGTTTTCTATAATTTGTTTTTGTTAATATCACATGTTTTTCTAGATTGTTTGGTGTGCAAAGCCCTAAATCTTGAATTTGAAAAACAAAAAAATGGAAATAGCATATGACTAGCAGTCTCACCTCGTAACTCTTTGTCTTCCAGCCAACCCATTGACCAGGCAAAAGCCAATACGAGCAGCAGAGCGATTACCAATGAGGCTACCGAAATCAGTGCTATATACCAGGGAGATAGTTTTTCACTGCTCACGTCGAACACTTCAATGATTTGAGAAAAACAGCAAGGTAATTAGAGAAGGAAAACTTTATGAAATGTAAAAGAGAGCAGAGCTAGTAAGTAATTGATTAAAAATTGGGTAAGGCTGATCATAAATTTGCAGGTCAATAAAATAAAATAAGAAAGAATCTTGTGGTCGGTTAAAAAAAAAACTATCCATTGGATACAGTTTAAGCTGCTAGAACATATCAAAACCATATTTGACTAAAAAAATATTAAATTAAATTGATGAAATCTGATTATGAAGAGTTAAACTTTTTAAAACTGTAAACTATAATACTCTAAAGAGAGCAGCTGTCCCATAAAAGAAAAAAAAAATTCTGTACGGCACATTAGCGGAGGTATGAGTGGGACCCACAAGTAGTGCTCTGGTTAGAAAATATAAACGTGCGTTTAGAATGGAGATTCGTGTCATGATTCAAATTATAGTTCGTGATTCGTTGCAGTATTTTTTTTTATAAAAAATACACGTAAAACAAAAATAATTCTGAATTATAATTTTAAATCTATAAACTAAACGTTTAATAAGTAACAACGATACGGTCATACGAGGATTGACGGAAATAGCTGATATGAGGGGTCCATTAAAAGCAGGTGCATTGGCAAAAGAGCCCTTTCCAGCCCAGAACAAATGGATAGTCAATAGACTGTCGTTTACATCAGTTGTGAAATTCATGGTAACTGCGATATTTGGAGCCCCTGCCTTTTCTCTAATGTTGAGATCCTTAAGTTCTCTCTTACCCTGCAAGGAACAATTCAAGTAACTACAAAAAGGTTGTGAATTTAACCACAAATCCAAGAAATTTCAACAATCTTATTTTGCGTACCTGAATGTATACATCAAACCGACGTTTCTTTAGACCGTTATAGTCTGAGTCGTCTGTGTATACAATTTCAGCAAAATGGAGCGTCACATTGTAACGGCCTTTGCGTAAACTAAACCCGTGATAGGTTAGAGAGACGGGGGAGAGACGAGCTTCTTCGTACAAGGATGTGTCAGAGTTGGAAATTTTGCAGGGCACTCTCTTGGTGTAATCACTAGAATTTACAGTCACCTCATAGAAGTCTCCAGAAAAACTACAAGCCCAGTTCTGCAATGGACTTACATAAAAATTTTGTGACGTTTCATTATCTGCATCGTAGCGTTTCCCATTGAAGTTTGTTTGCCCACCACCAGAATTTATGAACAAGGAGTAGACTGCAGGAAACAAATTGAGATATCAATTTATGTGTCCCACAAATTGGTTAACCCAACAAGAGAAGTACCCGAAATTTATAAGGTAATTGATAAGCTTACACTTGGGTCTCCCAGGATTATAGGCTTTCCTCATTTGATCGGGTTGAAGCCTAAAAGTAAATACAATTTCCCCTTTTCAGAAATGTAAGTCTATTTATTAAAAATGAGTGTGTAGGAAAAGACGGCTTATATTTGCCATACATATATGGTTCAGTGGTTGAGGAGGTCTCGCAGCAGCAACAGGCAAACAAGTTCCTAAATCGGTAACCATGAAAAGGGTCACTTAAGAATATAAAACTATTCGACTATATAAAAAAAAATATATATATATATATATATATCATTGCTTAATTCATATTTAGGAGTTTCTCCGGTGTTTCATCATTTTTAAGAATATCGGTGTCCTCTACTTTTTCAGCCGTTAAATCTTGTCAATCACACTAGATTAAAAAATTATGCAGAATTGGCTGAAAAACAAGAAACACTGGCGAAAGTTTCTTCATATTTTGCACAATATACGGACAAGAGAATTAACGCCAATGCTCACAGATCTAAGCCGGATGGTACTGGTGATTTCAATTCTGAGAAGTTATTGTATGAAAGATCCCTGAAACATGGAAACATAACATCTATACGGTCAATATTCGTGGAGGGTTATTGATATTTGTTTCGGAAACAAATTAATTAAGCACGTTTACTTATGTTGATATTGGACTAACAAAAGTATATGAACAAAATAATGGTTGTTGTTAAATACATGGAAATTAATTACCCTTTTCTATTTCTGTTACACCATATAATATGAATTGAAACAAGTTTGTAATCAAGTATATATAAAATAGATGTCATGGAGTCAATGGCAAAAGCAGAAACATATATATCAAAACGATCTGTTGTATTAATTTCTTACGAAGGATTTGAATAAGACGTACAGTCTAGTATGGCGTGCTTGAAATATCCAATTAGGAATGGTTCCGTTAAGGTTATTTCTTGCAAGAGACCTGTTTACATTGATGATCAAACAATGTATATCATTAGCAGATTCCTTCTTTTTTTTTTTTTTTTTTTTTTTTTTTGCTAATCAAAAAAGGAGAATCTGATGGTGCATTTCCCTTAGCCCCTTCGACTATAGCAGTAATCCTGAATACCACTGATATCATTAGCAAATTTATACTGGTCTTATAATTCTGTCACATATTTAACATGTGATCGAATTGGTATTTGGTGTGAATGCATGAATAGTAATATATCCTTACATGTAAATTAAATTTGATCTCATAGTCTCTGGGATTCCACTTGTGAGGCTGTTGAAGCTCAAGTCTCTGCGAAACAAAACGTGACCGATATAGTCAAGAATTCAAGAACATACATGTGTTTTGCTTCAGAGGGATTTAAATTGAGAGAACATTTGCAATTCTCTTTCTATTTTGTTTATTTTCACAAAGTTGTTTTCTATTTATTTTGATTAATGTCTATTGTGATTTAACATTGTACGGTGGTTCTTCATTTTTCTTATCTCTCTCTCTCCTTTTTTTTTTTTTTTTTCTTACTAAAAGAAACAAAACAAAAATAAAAGGAGTACTTACAGGTATTTTAGTGAAGAAAGTTCACCAATGTACTTGGGAATTGAACCGATGATCGAGCAGCTCCTCAGTACCCTATAGAAAAAAATGGTAACATCATTTCGATTATTTGACCAGTATGATGAAATTTACGCAACAGAAACCTTTCCAAATTTCTTGTCTATATATTGATCATAAGTTTTCAATGAGTACCCCCAGAAAAAGAAAAAAAAAAAAAGAGTAATATGATTACGATTATTATATTTGACCAGTCTGATTAAGGTTTGTTTGTAGGGTTTTCTGTTGGAAATTTGTTCAAACTCAAACTCTTAACTCTTTCTCAAACTTACAACTCATTTACAACACTCAATTTCTTACAAACTCTCACTCAAAATACAAAGCAACTCTCACACACTCACAAGAAGCTTTGCTTCTTCACTCTATGTTTTCTTTCTTTTTCTCAATGCTTCACAAACCAAATGGAGGGACTATTTATTAATAAGACAAATAATCAATGCCAAGTCATAATAGTTGACTCAACCAAGAATCATGGAGAGCTGTTGGACAATAACTATCCGTTAGAAACAAATATGGCAGAGTGTTATGCTCTGTCACGTGGATTCAAACTGTCAAGGATTTCCTCTTAATTCTCCACTGATCAAGGAATGATTTCTACTCCAGAGAAATCATATTCTCTCTTTCCTAAACTATCTTTTGTTACCGTTGGAACCTTCTTGTATATATATACCATTGTATTAATCCTTGCAATACAAAGAGATCGTAAACATATTTTCACTCACTTATTCGTGTAATCCTTCAAGCCTTTTATTGGAAATCTATCATTTACACTACTAGAGAATCAATACAAACCACTCAATATTAAACTACGAAAAACTCTCACAGCCATACAATCAAATAACTAGCCAACCTATCATCCCATATCGACAACTAATATCCCTTATGCACTTTAACATTTTGGCAAACACAAGAGTGTGCTTGCAGATGGAGGCTATGGCGCATCCTTCTCTTTTTTGCCATAAGTCACATGCATTTTGTCTTCCATACCAACTTTATCTTACTTTTGTTTTTGATTCATACGTTCAATAAACCAAATCAAGTTTAATAATTCAACATTTTCATGGGTTTGAACCTAAAAAGCAATCCAAACCAACACCCAGTTGCATATTGGTTTTGGATTTTGGGTTCACTTCAACCCAAAAATTGAAGGTTTTATAGAACTTTATCCCCCTAAAACTCTTTAGGTTCTAACCGAAAACACTATTCATAAACCTAACTCAAAGGTTCTCACCAACCATTTCACTCGCATTTTATAAAAATCTATAGTTCTAATAATGTAACCAAACACTGATTTAAACTTTATTTTCCTATTTAAGCTTTACACTGTCAAACGCCAGTTCGAACAATAAAAAACCTAAATATAAGTGTAAACCCGCACAATTCGAACCCGCAAAGCAAATAGGGCCTAAATTTACACGTCTGAGCATAGTGTCACAACCGGAGCTTTTCACTAGGTGATGCTGCTGGATTTAGCATGGTCTTGGCCAAGGCTCGTAATGAATAGTAGTCTAGATCATTATAGAAGATTACATTTCTAGAAATTCTAGTAAGTTATCTTACATTTGTATAAGATAAATGGAGTTCCTGAAAGGAAAAAACGAGAAAAAAATACACAATTTGAAGGACAAAAAAAAAAAAAGAAAGCTAAATAAGTCTATAGTCAGAAGTCCTTCCTATTGGTTGAGACCTTGGAATAGGACTACAAGTATACCTCGTCAAATACCTAAAAAAAAAAAAAAAGGCTAAATAAGTCTATAGTCAGAAGTCCTTCCTATTGGTTGAGACCTTGGAATAGGACTACAAGTATACCTCGTTAAATACGTTTTACTAAAATCCGGAAGAAAAAAGATCATAAGGGAAAAAGAATTTAGTTTTGTTCCAAGAATCGGGCTATTTACAAAGGAATAGGTAGGAAGACCAATCATACATCTACCAACAACTTTATGTTTGTGTAGCATCAGACGTAACATAATTCAATATTCTATGCAGTTATATATTTTCCCTAATTTTATCTATATTTTCCTTCCCTAGATAGAAAATTGTTTCTTTCTACTCTGAGTCTTCATGGTATCAAGGTTTCAAATTTCTTCATTGGATCCTGCTAGCTGCAACTTGAACTAAAACAACTTACAAGGAATAGATTTTTGTAAACTCTGAAGTCGGTGGCAGTTCGAACGGAGAAGTATTTAGGTCACTTACAAACCTGCAACAAAGCCAAATTAAAATTAACAAATTAAAAACGGATTTCCTTGAAACCATTATTTGCAAAACAACATTTTGACGTATTTTGCGTCTGGAAAATTAAAACAAGTGACGCAGGGAAGTGTTACACTTACAGTTCCTGAAGATTCGACAAAGTGAAATATCCTTCCGGTAAACGCCCTTGAAAATTATTTCCTTGGAACGCACTGAGACAAAAAAATATACAAATTTGTTAACGTTATAGCAAGAAGATTGAATTGTAATTCGAATCTACGAAAAAAACGCGCTAGTACGTACATGCACACCAACTACTAATTATAATTCCAAAATTGTACCAATTATGAAGTGAAAACTTACAGAGTTTCAATTCTAGTCCAGCTCTTCACGTAGAGGGGTAAGGAACCGGAAAACTCATTCCCAGAAACTACACTGCATTGATTGATCTTGAAAACTTTAGGCCAACCTTTTAAAATATTGCAGGCAGGATTAACGTTAAAGGGAGAATACTTACAACCAGCGAATCCAACTGAAGTTAGAGAAAGTATGTGGCAATTCCCCGGAGAGATAATTGGACTCAACCCAGCTACATCAACAGAGATATTATAAAAATTCATCTTCATTCCATTAATTAGTTACTCGTTCTCCACACTTATCCCTTAAAAAAAATTTTTTTTTTTTTTTTTTTTTTTTTCTGAAAAAAAAAAACTGAATATGTTTGTTAATAAACTTACAAGGATATAAGATTGCGCAAATTTCCAAGTGTATCAGGAAGACTACCAGTCAGACTATTTTCAGCTAAATTCCTAATTAAATCATGACAAGGGCTTGTGAGAAATATATTATCATCATGGAAAAAAAAAAAAAAATCATCACCGTAGTGTAAATAGTAGAAGATTCATGAGCGAGCAAATTAAGAACAATAACGTACAGACGCTGAAGTTTGTAGAGGTATCCCAATTCCTCGGGAATTGATCCTGATAGCATGTTGAAGTTTAGAAACCTGCAAAACACAAATAAAGGAAGCATCAGTTGAAATGATATCAAACAGTAGATGGAAATCTAAAGTGGACACAAGTATTTACAAATCTTGTAGCAATGTCATTTGACTCAGAGATGACGGTATACTGCCTTCCAGAAAATTATGGTGAAGATACCTGTGGCAGGGGAAAAATGGTGTCAAAATCACTTTACAGAACAATTATACACACACACACACACATATATATATATATATATGTATATATGGAGGGAGAGACAAGCGCATACAAATATATATACACACATTATATCTTCAAAAGATTTCCCTAGTTACTAATAAGCATACTAAAACTTTTCCAAGTTTTACAAGGATAAATACTGCAAGTTTGTTTATTATTTTAACAGGAGAATTCTAGCATTTGTAACCTTAAATTGTTGGTTTTTTTTTTATTCCCTTTTTTTCAAGATGTTTTCTGCTCGTAACAACTTAAGACTAGATGGATCATTGCTGGTACAAGTTACAACTCACAGCCATTGGAGATTCCTCAAGTTCCCTATGCTGTCTGGAATTGTCCCAGTCAATTGATTGTTTGAAAGACCCTAAATGTTTAAGACTAGATAGATCATTGCTGGTACAAGTTACAACTCACAGCCATTGGAGATTCCTCAAGTTCCCTATGCTGTCTGGAATTGTCCCAGTCAATTGATTGTTTGAAAGATCCCTAAATGTATAGATGTCAAATCAATATTATACATATACATATATAAGTAGAAATAGAAATCCATAAATAGCTTTTAATAAATTAGACTTACAGGGTGTTGAGATAGAACAAGTTCCCCAAGCTAGCAGGTATTGGGCCTTGAAGTTTGTTATTGGACAGAATGCTGTTCAATACAAGCACCATGTCATACCGTATTCGTAAGAGGATACATTCCACTAAAACGCTGCCAAAAAGCCATCGGCCCGCGTAGTTGGGCGCCCATGGGAAAGTTCATGGGCCGGGATGGGTCAAAAACTTATATTTTCATTTATGTTTTGCATTCTAAAATTAATATATGATTTTTAGGAATTAATGCAACAAGGGGTACCATTTTCTGATGAATATTCTATTTTTTTATGATTTTCATTATTTTTCGTCTTTAAAAAATATAATAAAATAAAAAAAGACGTCAAAAAATAATGAGATTTTGCAGACATGATCCTTACATTTTTCTAGGCATGCCACTAGCCACTAGGGCGATTTAGGGTCCAGTTTGGTAGATGGGTTTGAACCCGGTCCAATTTTTCTTACAAAAATTTAAATTTTAAAAGTTTTACTATAGCGTTCTATCTCTCAAAAATTTAAATTCTAGTTCAAACCAGCCCATTGACTAAACAGAATCTTAGTGGCTTAACATGTATATTTGCTAGTAACAGATTATAATGAGGAAAATAGACAAATACCCTTATAAAGTGCATGAGTCTAGATTTTTACTCATTATTCTTAATTAATATTTTTAAATCAAATAATTATATTATTCAAAAAGATATTAATAAAAAATAAATAGTAAAATTCAAAACCAATGATAAGTTTAATAATTCTCTCGATTATTATAATATAACAAGATTCTTTTTCTTTTACGAAATTATAGTAAATGGAATATTTATGAAAATAAATAAGTAAATAACAATATTTTAGGATATTTCAAGTAAAAAGCAGAAAATAGAAAATTTATCAGGTAAATAATCTATTATTTAAAGTAAATAAATGATTTATGTAGTAAATTTATTATTTACTGCTATTTACTTTAAATATTTTAAAAAATATTATTTACTATAAAAATATAAATTACTTATTCTTTCTCCCTTCTTTTTATCCAAATATTTTCTTTAATAATTAAACGCTCTAACCCCCCTCCCCCTTCTAGTGTAATCCTCTTCATCTTTCATATTCTCTGTCCCTTTAATTCTCTCTATCTTTTATACTCTCTACCTCGCCTACAAAATGGAGCCTACATGTGAAATAGATTAGAAGATCCGATGTAATCTCCGTTTGGGTCAACTATGCAAAAATAGATGCCTGGAAGTTAGATCCTTATCTCTTACCTAATTTATTTTACAACAAAATACGCACTAAAACCTCCTGTGGTCCTCTTTAATTTATACCCTCAAAAAGAATAATTAAAAAAAGAATCCTCTTTTATGCTTTAGTACTTTTCTAACTTGTGCAAAAAGTTAAGATATTTTCTACAATGGGATTTAGCAATTTATAACTACCGATACGAATTGTTGTTTTAATTGTTAGATTATGTTTTTGATGGTCTGATATGTTAATATCCATGTTAAAAATTTGCAACGATGCACTAAAGTGCTTCAACTATAGACCGTTGAAAACATAATTAAACGTTTAAAACAACAAGTCCCAGGTTTACCGTAAAAATTCTAAAAAGTTAAAAACACAAGATAAGTTGATTCATATATCCGAAATTAATTGGAACATTAAAAAAGAGAAAGAAATAGAAAAGTAATTACAGTGTCCTCAGATTTTGAAGATCGGCAATTGCTGCATCTATAGTTCCACTTAGCCCCATTGTACTCAAGACTCTGGCGAACAAAAAATAGTTAATTGCTGGAGAGAAAGTAGCAACCTCCAATTCAAGAGTCCATAATTATAGATCTCTTTGAATAATTATATATGCAGAATGATATACACATTTTTCTTTTCTTCACTTACATTTCCTCGATGTAGCACGCCCCGTTCGTGCCAGCATTATTACATGAGTCAGCACACTTGATTTTAACGCCGTAATTGGATACTTGATTTTGGCAATACGAACTAGTAAAACTGGGAAACGAGACTTTTGACTTGAACTGGCGTGTGATGGTTATGAGAGAAGACACTGCTCGATAATTTCAAGAAATAAGTCATTGCACCTCAAATATTTCTTTCATTTTTTAGAAAAAATACAATTGGTTATTTTAATATTTGTCTATCAGTTGCATATGATTATGTCATTGTAGTAAATTAAATAGTTAACCACTATTTTTTTTTAGCAATTAATGAGCATTGCTTTTCCTCTTTGCCGTTGAAACAGTACGGAACTTTCCCAAATTCACAATGAAAGTTATCTGCTTTACCATTTATATTCTATATTTGTAGATGTTGTGTGCACTAAGGTCCCGTTTATTTAACCGATTCGAGTTTAGAATTTAAGTTTTGTTACAGTAAAAAGCTCTTAGAAACAGTCATATCTAACTTTTTTACTACAGTAAAAAGTTCTTATATAAAGTCACATCTCAACTCGAATTAAAAATTTGATTCAGCGAAGTAAACGGGCTCTAAGAGATGAATTATGTAGCAATAGCAGTGTTGCAAAAGTATGAAAATGTTCCATTAAAGATGAACGATAAAGTCATAAACTTAGTGTATGTAAATAAGCTCTCTTAAAGAAACAAATTAAAATAAATGAAGGCCAAATTCTTGAGAAAGAAATAAGTCAACGAGATAAGAGCCGTCCAACAAGGGTTATAATAAAATGAGATGAGTTTTATGCTTGAGCACCCTTTAAGAAAAACTATTTTTATTGTCAACAATTGTTACTATCAAACCATTTTTTGAAACAGTATTTTAACTCAAAGGCTTTCGAGTTTGAAAAAACTGCGACTTTTCTTTAAAGTATTTTCTTAAAAATTTATGATCGTCAAATTTATTAAAACCAAGTAGCGGCTCTCGGCTCTCTGGTCGTGAGAAACTGTAATGATGACCTGAAGATTAACCTCACTTGTGTTGTACGGTATATGTGTGTGTGCGTGTGTGACTGAAGATCTAGCCTACATGATCATGATCATCTGAGAAGGGAAAGCAAATCATGTGGAGAGCTCTTATAATAAGCTTTCTCTTTGCATTTATTTTTAAATGTGCGGGAATTGAATTTATGTATAGGCAACCAATTTTCTCTCCAGCTTCTGCACACGCACACTTATAGAAGTCCTTTTGTATATATGTGTGTCTATACATAAACATACATACATATATATATATATATATATATATATTGACACACATACATATACATATATATAATTAAACATGATTTTTTTTTGACTATTTCATGTGATTCTTCATCATGAATTAAAGCCTCGTTCATTTCACCGATTCGAGTTTTTAGTTCTAGGTTTCTACAATAAAAAGCTTTTAAAAAATGTCACATCTAACTTTTTCTGGTACAGTGAAAAGCTCTAAAAAAATGTCACATCTCAGCTCGAATTAAAAATTCGAATCCGCGAAGTGAACGAGGCCTAAATCACTCCGGACAGAGAATCAAACCCAAGTAGATTTTTTTTTTGTTAGTTTGTCAAAATTAACATATGAAGAACTGAAGTACCTAGTAGTATATATTATATTCAAGAAAATATATATATGCAATGTAGTTTGAGAAATGTATAAGCATAAGAAGTTGATCTAAGAGTATACCTTCGTTCGCCGGTAATTCTCGATCCATATAAGCTCCTCGTATCCAAAGGATCTGGAGGTTCAAGTAGATAATAAGGTTATAACGAAAGAGACGTTGAAGTGAGAGCTCACTCATTTTTTATTTGTTCTGATTTTCAATACTGAGACATATTATCCCCTTCTCTCTCTCTCTCTCTCTCTATATATATATATATATATACTGTAGGCATATAGCATAAGAAAGACTTGCAAGTCTTTTCTCTACTAAAAGTAAAAGAGTATACATACATGTATTGTAATGTTTATTCTTCAGGCTTTAAGAACACTGATTAAAAAATTTCTCAACCAATCTTATTGGCGCAAGCAAAAATATAGTGGCCATGCATCTTGTTTTTATTCATATATATATATATATATATATATATCTACACTTTTATATCATTGATTACATTTAATGAACAAATTTATGTCTTTTCTCGACAATAATTGTGAATTATGCTAGACTCTTATTTTCTTTTCTTTTCTTCTTCTTTTTTTTTTTTTTTTTTTTTTTCAATTTGCGGAGAATATAGGTATATGTGTCTTTCTATGAAATTGATATCTTAATATCCATTAATACTGATGATGATGTTTTTCTTAAGACGTCCTCTATGACAAGAAGATAGGGATCTCCCGTAATCATCGGAAGCTTTTGCTGCACAGAATGCATGTCCTTTCGAGGCTAGCTAAGTTTTAATTCAGGGCGTGTTTGGTAGGAAGGATTGGGGTGCGGAAAGAAAGAGATGGAGGGAAAGATTGAAGTGGAAAGGGAAAATCCATCGTTTGGTACGATGGATTGGGCAAAGGAGAGAGGAAAGGGGCAGGGGGGCCCCATCGATGAGTATAAAATTATCATTCTACCCCTCTAATATCTATTTAATTATTATAACGTGTTTCCTGGTTCGTGTGAACGTCATCTTGCGGCCTCCAAAACGTATGATGTAAGCTTAATGATGTAAAAGTTATTCGAGAATAAGGGTGCGTTTGATTAGTGTATTTGTGGTACGATTTAAATTATGGTTTGTGATTCACTATAATATTTTCTCTCATAAAAAACACACATAAATTGAGAATAATTCTGAACTATAATTTTAAATTCATGAACTAAACGTCCACTAAAACTATAAAAAGAAGGTAAAATATACGGTGTGACATGCATTTTTGTTCTATTTTGAATTAGTTGTTTAATGCTCTAATGATAGGGTAAATCTGAAATTGTTTTGATTTTGGAATACGAGTTTAGTTACTTTTTTTTTTAAGATTTTATCATTTTTAGGATTTTATTGTTTTGTTTATTTAATTATGTTTTTGGATTGAAATGATAGAATTGCCATTTTAATCTCAAAAAAGAAATCTGGCATCCAAACAAATTTTTCTTGAATAACATATGCGTACCTCAACGAGATTTTTAAGACATGAAGGTAACAAATTGAAAAAGTATCAAATTACAAAGTATCAGAATGATATTTTCTGTAAAGTAAATCATCCACTGCGAATAAAACGACAAATTTTGAGTAGGTAGGATGAGGAAACATCCAAGAATGGCATAAAACAAATAAGTCAAGTTCTTCAAGATAGCAACAGAATTTACAATCTAAGGTAATCAGCTTTAGTACTTTCGGTGAGAGAATTTCATGACATCGAGAACGACAGATGGAGGGACATATATTATATAGAAATAAGGAAATGTCGGGGCCTTGACTTTATGCACCGATGGGATAAAAATTTAAAAGTTGATACTAAATCTTAGTGAGGATGCACGCGGTCTCTCTTACATTAAATTCTAACTCAAATCTATTAAAACTTAATAGTTACAAAACGCGAACATATATTGCACATAATCTCGCCACCAGCATATGCGCCGCCACCTCCACCCCGTGCCGACATCCTCCGCCGATACCTCTACCATCATTGTACTAGTCGGCCAGTGAACCGCCACTCTAGCGACAAAGCTCAGCTCCAATCGATGCCACTCGTCGACTAAATGTCGCGACGGTTTCCCTTTCACGCCCTAATCTGTCGCTTATCTGTTAGCGTCACCCAACCAAAACGACTCAAAATTGTGCACGTAGCAAACCCTCCTACTCGCATTGATCACCTTAGTTAGAAATATAAATGATAAATTGATGAATTTTTATATATCTTTCAAGTAAAAAAGGCAACATTTTTTGTAAGGAACACTTTTTTTAGCTTATCAATAAATACAGTTTTTTAATCATTGGATTAACTTTATAATGATTAGATATGTGATTAGAAATAGTTCTGCGTTGCACGTCTTAAATTTTTATTATGGACACTCACAGATCTAACCATTAAAAAGTTAATTTAACAGTTAAAATAGCAGTACCTTTTGATATGATGAAAAAACCTTCATACCATAAAAAGTTGCTGCATAAAAAGAGAGAGAGAGAGATATAGATTGTTATATATCTTTGGAAAGAAATTGGTTACAATTATGATATTCCCAAAGAGAGAAAAATATAATTTACGGAAAGGGTAATCTTGACAAATATCTCTTAAAAATGTATGGGTTAAGATTTTTATTTTTTACTCTTGATTCATAACTTTTTTAGTTAAATAATTATACTAATAAAAGAATATTTATTAAGAATAAAAAAATAAATATCCACACTCATATACTCTTTCAGAGTAAATTCTTCATTTTTTCATGCGGAAATCATGAGGAGCGACTCCAACCCGCACTAAAATGGTGTTAAAAAAGTGGATTCTCGCTGGGTTTCATGTCTACACAGCAACAATTTTTTTTTTTGGGCAATTTGTCGTGAGGGGTGTTGATTGAACAGTAGAAATGCATATATGGATTTCCAATGTTAATTTAACATCAAATGCCACGTCATTTTTTATGTTCTCTTTTTTTTTGTTTTTTATTGTTACCTCAATTTCTTATTTTTCAAAAAACTATTTTTTTGCAATAAAAATACGAAAAAACTTTATTTTATGTCCCACATTATTAATTTTATTTTATGGTTAATTTAAGATGGAGAAAAACTAATACGTAAATAATATGAAATGCAATTATGTAATGTAAAAATGTCAAACATTTATACCAACATGAACTAGAATTACATAGTGTTTGGTTGACAACTTTTTTTTATTAATGTAATTTCGTTTTTAATTAATATATTAATAGTTAATGGGTCATTTTAGTTTGGAAAATGTGATTTATTAATTTACTATTTTCTACGACTTCTTAAATAATAAAATATATTTTATTGGATCAATATCTTGAAAAATATTTATATGGGCATAATTGGTGAAGTAGATAAATAATAAAGAATTAATAAAAAGGAATATAAAAAGGGAGATAAAAAGGTATAACATGAAATATTCTTTTTTAGAAATGGTGTAATGGGTTAGAAATAAATTTATTGTTTGAAGCGAAAATTACACTATTTTAGTATGAAAGTTACACCATTCTAGTGTTAAGAGTCAGATATGCTCTTAGTAATTTATGCTCCGTTCATTTCACTAATTCAAATTTTGTTATAGTAAAAAACTCTCAGAAATAGTTACATAAAGTCACATCTCAACTCCAATTAAAAACTCGAATCAATGAACTAAACAGTCTCTTAATTAGGAGCTCGGTGTTTATAAGTGGTTATTTCTGTGCAAAATTAGACAAGTTTAAGTAATCTTGCAATCGTTTTTCAGAGCAAAATAAAAGAAAATAAAGGGCATAAAAAATCTTGCAACCTTGTTGAAGTTCATGGGATTTGGAAGTCACATGTTTAAAGTTCAGTGGAATTTTGAGACGAGAATCAAAGTTTAAATGAAAATTTTAAAATTATCTTCTAGCTTCTTTCCATTAAATTTTATCTAAATAGGCTTTTTAACTGGGCACATATCGAGGTACATAGAAAGCATTGCTCCAAACGCGTCCTTGCATTTTTTTTTAAAACTGTTTTCCTTTGCTTCAGCATTGCCTTCGGGTTAGTTCTTCATATTATATACTCTTTACAGATTTCTTTTATTTTAAAAAATAATTTGAATAGAAGAATTGGTATGAATAGAGGGTTAATAGATGCAACCTAATTAGGATGACTAATCTATTCTGATGTGTCAATTGTTTTCTCAATTCAGTGAAAAGGGAAAAAAAAAACAAACAAAAAAACAACAACAACAACAAAGAAAGAAAGAGAGAGTTTGCGATCCATCCAAACAATATTATTTAAATGAGGTCCAATGTCACAGGCTTTCTTGTACCGAACACTCTTATTTTCGATGTGAGAATGAGATCAAGAAAGCTTAGAGAAGACCTGTGTTGGCTCAAGTTTTAATAATTATTCCACAAGTTGCAATTCGGATTGCTAGCTAAATGTATGTTTTGCTCTAAATCCTTAAGAATAAAATTAAAATTTTGAAAAAATTACAAATTCTACATATTTAAATACCCGACATGTTGAAAGTATCTTTTTTGAAAAACTCTACCTTTTCATTAGTTATAATCTAAAAGGTAGAAATATATGATCTAATGTTTAAAGGGCAGAAATAAAATGGGACTCTATTTCAAGGGGCATTTTTAAAAATTTCTCTAAAATTTTAAACAGATTGTGGGCTCGTTTGGCAGGGTTTTTAAACTTATGATAATTACAACACAGGGAAAATTTCATACCTTGATTTGAAATTTAGCAAAATATTTAGAATATTAGAAATATAGCAAAAATGACATAATTATTATCATAATGATGTCACAATTTATACTATGTAAAGATATAGTCATTATTCTAATGATATCAAAATTTTACTATGTGTGTAATATTTTAAAATTTTACTATATATTTAAACTCTACTATTAAAATTTTACTAGATGTGTAAAGAGCCCTTTTACTTTTGCTTTTAGCCTAGTAAAAAAAGGTGAACAAAGTTGTGGCTTTTCAAGTGTTTGGAACAAAGAACTTAATTAGTTAAAATGATTTTTAAATTTTCTAATAAGTAATAAAAGTGTTAGAATGGAATTTATAATGTCTTAATTAATGAAACTCTAGTACAAGTTTTAAAATTAATTCATAAGTTTTTATTTTTATTTTTAGAAGTCATATTTTCTGACTTTGATTAAAAGCTCTTTTAAAAAGCTAAAGTACTTTTAACAGATCA